ATAAATGGTGGACGCATCACCGGATATCTCGACACCGCTTATTGCTCAAGTGTTTCTGTTAAATATCTTACCTCATTATTTACTCCACTTTTAATAGTGGGGGTAACAGAACTATGTGTACAAAACAGTATGGCATGTTCATCTATGACAAAAACTGAATGGAAATTGGACCGCACAAGGCACGTTGCAATTGAATTATACCATTTGCAAAAGTAAGAATAAACAGATATCTTACGAAATCTTTCAGTAACGCTGTCTCCTTAACCCATAACTTATTTATCACTAGCTTAAGAAACTCGGCATTGCTTGGGCATTTATCACAATCATTAGATAGCAGACCTACATGGCGTTCCCCGGTTTTTCCAGTAGATGCATATAGGTAAGCTACTACAGTTAGACTACGTCCTACTCTCAAGCAATTTTGTATGTTTACTTCAAGGAAAAAAGAAGAAAGAAAAACACATTTGGAGATAACATTTTGAACCACAACAAAGCTATTTGATCCGTGATCGCTCAAAACGTATTCGTCGCGTATTTGAGAGCAATCAATCCAATTATATGTTTGCGACACAAAGGTTTACCATCGTAAACAATCTCACTTTAATATAATAACATAAGAATGCTGCATTTCAATTGTCAATTAAAACATTAATCACATTTATCTCGTAACTTCATTTTACTTTCCTCACAACTACGTATTTACATAATAAAGAGAAAGTACTGTAAAGCAGCGGCGAAAAATGGTGATTTTCCGACAGAAAACCTCAATTAGAGATGTCCAGAATGACGTCACATTTTTTGTCGAGATAGTGTCGGGATGGCAACCTTCGCTGTACGCGAAAGCGATTTCTAGAGAATTAGTAACTTTTTGGCTGTATGCCGCGGTTGCCGAGATTTTCTATCTCTTATAACATATGTTATTTAGAAATATTTTTTCGTTCCTTCGGTTTATTTAGGTTCTGGCTGTGAATTGTGTCGACAAATTGAATTTAAAGAAGCACTATTTTATCAACACACGCCAAGTCACCACCTTTTCATCTCGAAAATTGTTCGATCTTAGCGATGATGCTAAGATACTGTTTAAAATAAAATGAAACATTTTGATCCTCGTGCCCTTTCATCGGATATGAAAGAGCCAACGAACTTTGAGCTCCTGTGCTATTAGAGTAGAAGTATCTTCTTCGTATATTTTTTTAACCTTCGGATTTTTAAATATTTAATTTAGAAAATTGTATTAATTATTATCGTCGAGGGAAACGTTACCTTCGACTAGTCTCTAATTTTATAGAAACAGTTGTACAAAAGAAAAGATTTTACTTGGGACTTCAACTTTTGTATCGAATTTAATCGTTTAATATCTGGCAAGGCGTTTTAAAATAATGTACATGTATTATAAGTGAATTTTTTGTAGTAAGCTGTTACTTGATAAATATGATTACTACGTCGCGTGTGGTAGTTATAGACAACGGCGTTTGCTGAAAATATATTCCCGCCCTTAAGCCATTTTTGACAAAAAACACCGATCCATATATTAAGAGACAAGGTAATGGTAAAATACCTTCATTAATGAATAGAGGCTTACAAGAATTACGTGGGTGGGATTTGCTTATTATTCGTACAATTCGTTTTTGTAATCTAAAAGTCTGGGAGCTTTAAGATGTATTTTCCCAGAATATTATGTCATATCTCAGGCGGGAATGAACATTTGCGAAATATACACAACGGGCAGTGTGGAGGCTAACTGAATTTGAAAGAATTCTAAAAGCATAACATAAAGAACTTAATTTAGTGTTCAATTCATTTAAATGGGCGTTCCATTTAAGGTTTGACTGAATTGAAAGACCTAAAAATGTTGTTACCTTAACATCAGTCAATGGCACGCTGTTCATTTTCAGTGAAATGACGAGCTGTTTATTGGAAATGAAGAACTGCATTGAAACAGTTTTCTTTTCATTTACTATTAATTTGTTATTACGAAGTTATGTTCGGCAGAAAACTCTTATTACAGGGTCCTGGTAGCGAAAAAGTGGATAGATCTAGTTGTTAAATTTAGAAAAACATCCTCAAAAGGTGATATTCTACAATCGATGTGGCTGATGTCTTGGCTCCCGAATTTGAAATTTTAATTGTGTGGGGTTCTTTACATAAAGCCCCTAGAATACTTTCAAAAAATTTTAAAAATGGCTTCATGGTTATTAATTATTTTTTGTTGTTGAATAGTGTGAAGGACGTTCAAGAGAACGGTGCAGATCTCATTTTCGTTGGAAACTAATTTTTCGAAAATTGCAAAAATTTTATTTTATTTTTTCGTCTTCCTACAACTACATTTATGAAGATAGAGATTTTTCGCTTCATGAAATCTGTTCGTTAAAGACTGATTTTGAAGTAAGGTCATGTAACATTTTTCGAAAATTGGAGTTCTTTCCGCGTAATTTTGCGTGAAAGTACGCGTTAGCACAACTAGTTATTAAAATTAATTAAAATTCTGTATAAATTATTTTCTTTGTAAAAGAGCTCTCGGTGCTTACCACAAACGAAACGCATCGAAACTGCCGAGAATGATCGGTACTAACAGTTCTGGCCCTTGACAGAGACCGAATGATCGATAATAGAAAGCAGCTCGTTGACCAAGTATAGTCTTGAAACGCGAAAAAAATTCCCGTCGAAATTGAAAATTACAAAATACATCATAAGAGAAAGTGTTCAGGGCCAAAACGATAGAATAATATTTTTTTGCTAATACCATAAGAAACACACGGGTATTTCTCTACCTGAAAATACTAATTCTGCAATAGATTATTTTAAACATTATTGCACATTTATATTTTGTTCACTGATTAATAATAGATGTTTTAAGTTCATGAACTGTGGCTTCTTTTAATAAAGCTTTGGGCCAAATTATCTAAAATGTACATTTGTAACAAGATAGTTGATGTAGCAAAAATTAGCCCCAAATTAAATAATTGTGGCTTGGATAAGACCAACTCACAAGCCTAACTTGTTGGTTTGCTTCCTCCCTAAGTTCTTTCAATATAACTTCCACTGATCAACCATCCTATCATTTTTATAAGGGACTTGAATCCCAAGAATCCTGATGTGAAACTTCCGTTTTGATTGAGTGACTGGGGAAAAAACGGGAGTACAAGTGACACTTAAAGAGAACGATAGCAAGTGCAAACCTGAAAATTAAGAAGTACTGTATATTTTAATGGTAAAAAGATGTCACTGAATTTATTTTCTTCTATCATATTGTGGCACTCTTTTCAACTACTTGTCCAGATAGCTCATCCACTCCGAAGGAAAGGAATACTAATGTAATGGACTTTCCTATTGCAAATACTCAACTGCATGTTTTAAGCACTTTTTCATTGAATTAAAAGCAAAGGTAGTTTATAAATTTCAAAAGCAAGAGCAAAATTAATGGTAGTCAGGATCAACCAGGATAATTTCAAGTTTAATCACGCCTGCTATTATGAAAAACAAAATCTCTGGAATTTGTAAAATGCAGTGGCTGTTTACACTCTTTTCCAAGGAAATTCTAAATGAAGTTATGAAATTCTGTAGGTTGGACTTGAAAAGGACGTTGGTAGACCCCCTCTAGTTTAAATATGAATGTAGAAGATGAAATGTAGAAGATGGTCAGGCAGCAAGCACAACAGTTGTTCAGTGCTTGTTTCTCGCAAAATTGTTTATAAAAATGTTTCAATGGCAAAGCGGTTCGAGTGAATTTTTCAGAAGTATAGAATGCAAAGGATTGCACAAAGTGCCAAGATGTATTTTTTAACTTCAAAACCACAACTGCAAAACTTTGTATACTAATGAAAGAAAAGTTCATAACATGGATCTTTTCGTGTATGTACATAAATTGCACAAAATAATTTCATCAGAATTTATATTAAACTACCAACTTAGAACCATTTTTCCTCAAAAGTGTTCAACAACACTGGTACCCAACTACTTTTCAATGTCATTGACTTTGACTAACCTTCAAACTTTTGACTTTATCTAGCACTAGACTTTTTGTTGCTTTCAACAAACAAAAATTAGATTATATATAAGCTATTGGATTACTCAAGTCCTGGAGCAGGAAATGGACCTGAAGAAGAAGAAGAAACTGTATTAAAAATGGTTGAGTACCAAGAAAGCAGAAAATAGGGAGGAATACAAAAACCAACAATATAGAGTTAGAAACATGATAAGAAAAGAATAACAATCATGGAAGCATAAATGCCAAAAAGTAGACATGTACATAGGTGGAACAAAAACAAGTAAGATTTGGAAGTTCATAAAAAAGGTAAAATCTCCCCAAATGGAAAAAGTCTGCATACAAAGTATAACTGTAAGCAAATGGGAAGAGTATTTCAGAAAATTATTAAATGAAGAAAGATCAAATTTTCTTGGAACTACAGAAAGGGAAAAGATATCTCCGGCCAGGGAAATTACAGTAATTGAAGAGAGGGTTAAAAGATGTATCAAAGAAATGAAAGGCGGTAAGGCTCCGGATCCAGGAGAAATCCCAAGCAAACTGATAAAGAATGGAACATCAAAGCTAGTGCGAATGATGATAAAGCTAATGAATAGGTGTATAAATAAAGGCGATATACCAGAAGACTGAAAAATGGCTTATATAATGCTAATACACGAGAAAAGAAGGAAAGACGTGTGTGAAAATTATAGAGGGATAGCAGTGACAAGTACATTAAGAGAATTAATAGAAAATGGATACAAGGAGTGCAAAGAAGAAAAAGAATAAAGGGGTTTTAAGGCATGTTGATCTTGCTTAAATAACCTGTTTTTCCAGGTGATGCAAATGAAATGGCAAATACAGAGAGACATTCACATGGTCTTCTTTGATATAGCAAAGTCGTATGATAGTGTGCCTCTTTAGATGAATTTTAGTGAACTCTTTAGATGAATTTTCAATTCTATTCCATATTATAATATAATTCACCTTGATAAAAATTGAGAAGTTTCAATAAAATATTTAAACAATTCTAATGAAAAGATTTTTTATTCTTGACATTTAGTTTTTTGAATGTATATTCTACATATTAAAAGTATTTTTTATAAAAGTTTAAAAAGGAAATACATTTCATAATTGCACTAATAAAATAAACATTCTTCTACATCATCACAACTGTACAGAAATAGGGTTAAAACTCTATGATCATATACAAAAACAATACATTAACAAACATACAACTTTCAGAAACAATTATCACAATAAAAACAAAAATAAAATGCTTATAAGAAAAAATAGAGTTTTGTCAATAACACTGATTACTACTTTCACATTTAAAAACAATAAAATCACTGAAATAAAATAACTTCAGCTTCTATGCATTTTCAACCAGTGATCAATACAGTAAAATTCATCCTATTTTCAATAATTACATTATCTTCAGATGATAAATGTTTTAACACAATGCTTTCTGCTCCCAGTTTTTCAAGCAGTGTGCAACATGTATTAAATGTTAAAAAGTCACTGAGAGATACAAATAATACTTATGTAAACCACATACACTCACTATTAATATTGTGAAAATTGCATAAGGTCAACACAATAATATACACAGCATTTATAAAAGTGTAACTATCATTTTAGAATTTATTTGCACTGATATTATTCAATATTATTAAATAATAATGAATATCCAAAGACATTGATCTACCTACTACATGAATAGCTAGCTATCAACACTAAGGAATGAATATATTATGAATGAATTATCAATATAGGGCTTGAACTCAATTTCTCTATGTACACAGTCACAAACCCATACACACTTATATCCAGGAGAGGCTCCTGGCACATATGTTTAGGAAACGTCAATTTTGAAGTGAGTGATAATTCAGCCAACTTCATTTTCACACAATTTTTGAGATATATGTTATTTATTGCACAATATTTAATGAACATAAGCTTCTTAAAAATTAAACATTTTTTAATAAACAGAAAAGTTATTAACCCTTACCCGGGCAATCAGAGAGAGAGACACTGTGAGCTCTTTTTACTGACACAAAAGAAAATGTTATTGTCGACTCTTTTGTGACTGACTTTTTTGGTCAATAAAGGATGAAAATATTTATTTCCATTTATAATACAATTCTTGGGCAAGTAGTTCCTGGAGCATGCTTGTGTTCTTTTTGGAATAACCAATGGTTGATGGCAAAATGCAACAATCCATATATTCATTTATTTCTCTGTATGAGGTCAAGGATTGCATGCTGATAATATGGAAGAGATGCTTTGCAATTGCAGTTTTTAAGATATGTGAGTTACTGCAGCTGCTAGAACAAAAATTGAACAGGAAAGTTTCTGATAAGCAAATATCACTTCTTTTAAGAGAGAGGTTTTAGTGATGAATATTTATGTTATTAGAATATTAGCTGTGTCAAAGTCACAGAATAAAACATTTTTACACATTTCTGAAACAGTGTCTGGCAGATCCTGCTTGTCTAGGTATGTTACAAAAGTAGCTTGTCCAGAGAAGGGTTAATTTCTGGAAAATTGCCTGGTACTAATCCGAAGAATACATTAATCTACTTAAGCGGAGAGAAATACCAAGCAATAACAAACTTAAAAGTACTGCTATTGAACAAAAACAAAACGTATTGTGAGGCAACACAAAATATAAATGGCTTATCATTGTAAATGAAGGTTCTACATAGAACCAATGAAATTTCTACAAAATCAGTAACGAAAACTTTAATGATGAATTTTGTCAGCACAACCTCAACCAAATGTAATGAAGCATTAGTATTTAAAATATTACGAGCAAGAATTAAATATTGCAATACTAAATTTCTTAAATTCAGTATAAAAAAACAAAATGATAGGAAGATGCTTTATACAGTTCACTGATTTATAAGATTGCTCTTCTGAACTCATTCCCACAACTACCTCTTAGAATTCCTTGCAGGACTCTGAAGGAAATTGCTAACCCATACACTATCTTATAGCCCTTCAAGTATTATGACAAAACAACATATTCAGAATAAATTCATTCATTTATATTACAAACAGCTGGGTAATTATGATTTTAAAGTCCAATTTAGGTAACATTATTAACAACAAGTAAAATTATGGCTACCTCTTCCAGGTATGTTGTGTCCAAAATGGCACATGCATCTAAAACAGTAAACAAAAATTAATTTCCACCTTTAACTTTTATTCAATACAAATGTTTTAAGCCCAGATGAGATAAAAAGAATTTAATCCAATAGTATCAACATATTAATCATAAAAAAACTCATAATTAGGCGATTTTTAAAACAATAATTATCAGACTGATTGTTCCACACTATTACAGCCAGTTCCAGTTTTTGCAGGGCCCTGTGCCAGATAAAACAACTGTGTGTCTAGAAATAACCATGTCTTACAGGTGAATCTTTTAAGAGCTGATGACATATTTTTATTCTTCGAAATAAAATGCCATTGAAATTTTTTATCAAATAATAACCCTTACCAAAAGAAAATAATTAAGCAAAAATGTACACAGGCATCAATTTAAACGCTTTTTGCACAGACTAGAGAGTAAATATCACCTTCAGTTTTTTAATACAACCAATGGAAACATTCTGGAAAACGTAAGCAGAGAAAGTGGATTTTTAATTAAAATACATTCATCTTTATGCAAGATAGCTTGAAAAAGTGTAGTGTTCTAAAGATATTCTCATACATAAATGTTTTTCATTGCTGCCACAGCATGGTTGGGTACATGCTAACGGAGTGAAATATTTCCTAGAGAGAATGTGTTCTTGAATCACAATCACATATTCTATACCACATTATGATGTAGGTATTTTTATGTTCTCCATTGCCTAGGTGAACTATGTCCAATATTTAATTAAATATTAAAAATTTATTTCAATAAAAAAACAGAAATATTACCCTTTTTTCCACTGCAAGCATTCTGTAAGCACTATAGAAAAAGAAACCTGCAACAGATCTTCTTTGACTCTTTAAAAAAACCTCTTCAGAAAACACATTAACACATGGAGACAGCTCCCTGCCAATATGTATGAATATTGACAGCTGCAAATCGTTTACAAAAAGCACAGGACCCTGTCACACACTACTATTCACACAATCATTGCACCAGTTCTCTCTATAGGTATTACTTTAAATTACTTTACATACAGGTTTAGGAATTATTAATCATTTTTCAAATTGATTGAGAAAATTATAATATTCAAAAGTACATAATTATATCTTAAATATGAAATCACAGTATATGCAACATTTTAAGGCACAATCACGTCACAATGCATCACGTCACATGTCAAAAACAGTAAGCATGCTATATTACTAAGATAAACACTTCTAACAACTAAAATGTTCAGGTACACAGGTAAAAGAGTTTGTAGTAATTCTACTTTAAGTAGGTACCACATGACTTTGTTTTTTCAAGTGAGTCTACTTTTAATGCTAATCTAAGCATAAAAACACATAATATTCAGTGTTTCCATAGAATGGAAGTTATATTGCACTAACAATAAGATATTCTGATAGGTCTGTTAGCAGTTTTTAATAGCGAGCACCCAGTTTCTATGTAATGAAATATATTCATTTTTCTTGGTTTTTGAATCAAGCTATTCTGTGTAAAATGCTTCAAGAAGTACATGGACATCTGAAAATTCCTTAAAGTTTCTCACTACTTTTACTATGTTTTGGTCTGTCACTCAATGCACTTTCTTGATCAAACACTACTATTTCTTAATCTTTGATTATCTTTTGCTTATATTTTTAGCATCATTGAAAACAGCTGAGTAGGTTAGGTGAGAGAACATCTTCTGATCGTCTACTTTCACTTCACATTCACTTTCCAAATAATTTTATCTGAAACTCTTTTACCTGTACACTTCTATCATTCAAGGGGCCTAGCTGCAAAATTATTCCTTTACTTTTTGCTTTAAAAAATAGCAGTAGATAATTTCTACATTCTGTATGTATCAATTACAATCCAAAATCTGTGCAAACCTAAACCTCTTAATCCTGAGTAATATATTTTCATCCTATAGAGATGATCAATTAATAATAAATGAAACAATTTCAACAAGGAACACTAGCAAAAGAAAGAATTACAAGATCAAATTATTTTGGCGAGGAATTTGGTTCCCAACAGTCATGTAAAAATTTAATTTTCACACTCATTTTGGGGATGAACAGGCAATCATGAATTGCCTAGCTGCAAATGAGTGGCTCAGCACACACCGCATGTTAAGAAATCTTCATGATGTAGATAACGAATAAGTAAAGACAAAATCAATCCCATTAATACCAAATACTTTGTAGAGGGTGGGGTAAGCAGAGATCTGAAATTAGGCCGAGATGAAATAAAAACACTAATCACGAAAATACATATCTTTATGGAACAAATCTCTGACAATGAAATTCAATAGACTATCTGTACGTCGATGAATCAATATGTTCCAAGAAATCTACAAATGTTCCAAAAAATTTAGACTATTGAAATAAATTACTGGTTTGGATGCGGTACATTCATTCTTCAAGACTGAATATGGAATGAAAAAAATAGGAGTGGCACTGAGATAATTGCTATTACAGAATAAAGACTTACAATGTCATCTGTCACTAGGGCCTAAATGACACTAGTGGTGAATGGCAGGACAATTGGCACAGAAGAGTTTGGGATTGGATTCCAATACAAAGATGAAAACAAGAATCACCAAAGATATGTTAGGAAGACAAATTTTGACAATAACAGCCATTACTAAACTTATTCTACAATTGCTACTTCAAGTATAATAGTTCCAAAATTTTGAAAAACTTAAGTTCTAAGGATTCAAAAAATGTAATACAATGTGAGAATTCTGCTCATTCATCTACAACAACCTAAGTAACTTGATCAATCTGAAAGAACAATTGAATTGCACAGGCTTGATTCTGTACCAATTTGTTTCAAAACTCAACTATTTACAGAAGGTTTTTTATAAGGTGAGTCCAGTATGTACCAGTTAGTATCTCTCAAAAACAAAAGAGGCTCAAATGATTGCAAAGGTAGCACTGGCAAAGTGAGCATGGTTCATGGGGTTGCAGGACCAAGTCCTGCATATGTATGGGGATTTTTATCCTTTTGTTGTGGCTCAATTGGCTCTTCTACCCTTTACACATCACTTTTCCTATCAGATGCTCTCATTTCAGGCCGACTCATGGGTGGAGAAGCTTGCATGTAGAGCAAGTACAAATCGCATCTAGGTAGGCCACCCTCTCTGATCCAACAGTGGTGTTTATGGCATGGGTACATATTCCCTGAATCTCATGTACCACCAACACTACCTTAATCCTACACTAAGTTCTTGCTCTGATCAGTAATGTGTGCATGATTTGTGTGTGATCTATCTATTCATGTGAATAAGGAGCTGACCCCCAAAACATTCACAAGAATAATAAACATCAAGATAGGCAAATGGGTCGGCTTAGACACCACATAAGGGCACAGAAAAGGTACAGGACTGAGATGGGTCTAAGGGCTACCTCATTGTGATGTTTGGGGATCATGAGGAGACTCCTCATTGGGAAGAGTTCCCCAGGGAAACAGTATTGTCTGTGTGAGTCACTGAGAGGTCTCTCTTTTAGATGATAATACATGGCAGACAGCAGGAAAGGGTCAGGCAAAACAAAACTGGAAGATAGTCTCAATCAAAAAGAAAAGGGATATCAAGTCTGTCTCTTCAAACATAAGAACAATAATTTTTGTCTCTAAATAAATTTTAAAAAAAGTGGATGAAGGATTTTCAAAACAAGTGAAAATTTTACCTACAAACAGACGAATGCTAGGAATTGGAACTATTCCAACTATAATTTCAAAGAAAAGAGTGAAGTGACCCAATAAAAACACAAGTTTCAAGGCAAATGTTAAACGTTTCAAAGATTCTGATCTCACTACACATGGTTTTAAATATTACACAAAGTAACATACTGATTTTCTTAACCGGTTTGCACATAATCCTTATTCATTTTATGCTTACGATTTACCAATGCTGAAACACTGTTTAGTCAATGCCATAAGCACACAATAAACATGAACAACAATATGCCCAGTATATCAACGTTATAATTCGGCTTTGGTTGTATTTATCGTTTCGATGACATAACGGTTAGAATACCAGGCTGTTACATCCACGTTTGCGGATTCAAAACCGATTGAAGTAGTTGATTTTTAAAGACCAAAAACCCTTTATATGCCTCCCTTTCAGAGGGAAAGTAAAGCCAGCTGCCCTTGTAGATTTATTGCATGTAAAAGATCCTCAAGAATAAACAAAGTCTACAGTAAAAACTACCAAAAATACTATAGTAATACATTCTTTAAAATAATCATTCAATTCTCACACTTCTATAATAGATGTTTCAACAGCACAATGGCATAAAATGTAGTTGTGCGTAAAATCCCTAAATCAACAGTAAAAAGAAAAGAATGGAAAACTTTCTTAATAACAATCCTCATGCATATTTAATACATAAATTAATACATTTTTAACACAGTTTTAACTAATTATGTAGCAATAATTTATGCACCTGACCCCTTCTACTCATTTCATTTTGTTTCCATGAAGTTTAATTACAATTCACATTAAAACTATTTTTATGATTTAACTGGACACAATACTTACACTTCAATCATTTGCATTTATTAAAGATAAGGTGATGTCAGTACCAGGAACTCTACTTTCATTAACAAACATGGAATCTCGAGCATGAATTTTTAAATGCCGAAGAAGATGAGCTTCACAGGAAAAACTTCTTGGACACAATCTACAATGAAATGTGTTTCTTTCTTCATGAATTATTGATAATTCATCTGAAGATGAAACATGATGGTTTGTTGAAGCTTCCGATGAAGTACTATAAGCAGGGACAGAATCTTCTCCAATATTGGTAATAGTAAAATTTGACAACGGAATGTAATCAGGATAACTTAAAGAATGAGTACGCCGTACATGTCTGACCATATGTTCTTTTCTACCAAAATCATTACCACAAATTTCACAAGTATGGCGTTTGGGTTTCACCTCACTTCCATTCTTTTCAAATTTGAAGCTAGAAGAACAATAGTCAGGTTGTGTTTTGTGCCCAAGATAAGTTTCATTATGAATTAACAAGTGACGATTCAGGTGTTCCTTGCGAGTAAAGGATTTTTTACATATTTCACATTCAAATGGTCGACCTCCTGTATGCAGTAACATGTGGCGAACCAAGTGTTCCTTACGGCTGAACCCTTTACCACATATTTTGCATGGTAAAGTCTCATACCCAAAATGAGTACGCAAATGACGTTTAAGGGAATTTAATCGAGGAAAAGGTCTTTTGCAATATTCACATTCAAGCAATTCACCCATTTCTTCTCCAAACCTGTAAGACATTGACCTAGAGTCAGAGATCTCGCTTCTGTATGTTCTATCACAAGAATCCTCTTCTTTAGAAACGTTGCGTTGAAGTATAACACACTTATTGCACAAGGAACAAGGAAAAGCTGCTTTGCTAATTATGTATCGGCGCATCACCACATTAGTAATATTGTGAGTTATTTGTTTTTCATAAACATCCCACATTTGTGGAAGAACTTCACGTTTCTTGACGTTATTGATCAATGTTCTATCTGATGGCTTAATTCCAGGCCTTGAAAATTCTACAAAATTGTTTGGCACTCTGAAAAATAAAGAAACTGCATAAGAATTCTTGAAGTTTGTTCATTGCTACACTGCACACAGGCAAGAAAAACATGCAAAGGTGACTGGGTTGAGTGTAGAAATTAAACGTTGGTAAGGGGTGTGAGTAGACAGGATGATCAACTAGGGCACTGGAAATAAGGGAATCCAAAAACTAGTTTCATGAAAGAAAAAATATTTTAGAAATTCAGAATTTATAATATTGCTGTTCACAATTTTGACCTAATCAACTCACATGAAAAAAGGTACCAAACTAATTTAATTTCACAGAGAAAAATTATTTTAATGACGTTCAAATATTTCAATTATTTTTCAGGGAAATTCATAAAGAGGGATCCCCACCATCAGGAAGAATATGTTTGATCCTTCAATACTTTGTTGCATGTAATACAAATATTTTTTTAAAATGTTAATGTTGAATTGTAAAAAGATTACAATGAGTTAATAAAAAAAATCAAATTAATTCTTTGATCGAGCATATACAATACAACTGGACTGTTCAAATGCAAGAATTGGGGCCAGAATGCAGTTCCCTGTATGCCATTCGCTTTCCACTAGACTAAAATTGATTGTGCCCGAGTGCCTCCCCTCCCATTCATCTGACTCGCAAAACAGCACATGATGCGACATAAATAACAAAACATCAATGTTACTGAACATCGATGTTCAAAATGAAACCATCAAAGTTCATAATATATCACCAAAAACCATTGATTTCTTTAAAAACTGATGCTTTAAAGGTGGTTTAATAAGCTCATAACATCACTTTTGGGCACAACAAAATTTAATTTCATAGCCTCTATGTTTATTAATTTATTACAAAGATTTAACAGAGACCCCCCAAAAAATATAAGAACAATGGATGCTCAATAAAAATAGTATAAAGTAACCATAAATAAAGTTTTTCACAGTCTCTTTGGTACAAACACATTAGCTTGGCATGTATAATAGTACACTAAACTGATAATTAAAAATGTTATTTTTTTTAAGGACATTGTTTATATTTTTAAAACCTGCTAATAGATTTATTGAGTTGTATTGAAATGAAGTCCATAGCAAACTTTAAAATCAGTACATTTTCTATTAAAAACATTGCTTTGGTTTCGTGACAGCATAGGGTGCAGAGAGAATGAATTAATTCTTTACCTAAACCATTCAAAACCAATTCTTCAACCATTACAAAATAATTCATCCATTTCGGATATACATGGTGTACATTATGAATATTTTAATTTGTCTCTATTAGAACGTCTGTGATTTTCTATTTAAGAAAAAATTTTACTTCATCTTCATAAAACTTGATCTTAAAAGAAAATGGTTTACAACTGGTGTGTAACTTTTGACACTGGACATGGACTATGTGACAAGCAGTCCTGGTCTCAACAAGAGAATAAATCGATAAAGCATTTATTTACTTCAATGGTTCCAAATTATTTGAGGTAATAAACAGTTAAAGTTTTTGTGTGTGAGCTTTTACTTCCCCGTATACATAAGTATATACGGAGTATAGCAAAACTTATGTAATGCAGTGCAAAATCGATTTTAAGTTTTCAATGGAATTACACATTTTGGGGTGCCTTGATACTGAAAAAGTGTTGTTTTTTTCAAAACGTCCATCCATCCGTGTCCACCACTAGCTCCTAACCTATACTTAGGATATTTTACAAAATTCCAAGGTCGATCTGGCTCGACTCCAGGCACTACATTTCGAGAAACTTTCATCAAAATTTGGGGGGTATTTTACATGAAGCCCACCGGACATATTCAAACCTTCTCAAAAAGACTCCAAATTTTTTCTTTACAATTCTTGTAAAAATAGGGTAAAATACACCTATAAAGGTGGCATAGGTTTGTTTTCAGAGTTAATTCTGAATTTTCGAAAATTTCAAGTTTTTGGGCGTGTTCCTACAACTACAAAATTGAAGACAGAGATTTTTCCTTCAAATAAAATTTGTTGTCCATCATGAGTTCTTCCATTAAGGTCATGTATATTGTTTTGAAAATTTTAGTAGTTTTCACGCAATATTGCCAGCAATTTTAAAAAATTACAAGAACAAGATTTTCTTGAAAAGGACTCCAATTTTTTTTCTTTAAACATTTTGTAGGGGTGATGCTAGACGCACTCCCTAAGATGACATAAATGGATATATTCTTTTGTTTTTTCAAAAATTACAAAAGTGTAATTTTTTTACTCTCACGGCATTGATATTCATATTAGTGGCAATTTGCTCTTGTTATTATATTTATCAGTGCATGTAATTTAAATAATGTCATATTTAGATTCTCGAAAACTCTCCCTTTTCTGTGAAAAATAGCTCAAAATACCACATTTTTAGAAACGCTCAAACGCCATTTTCACAAAAAGGGTTCCAATTTTTTTCAAACTTATTGAACGAATAGTGCTAATTGCACTCTTTAATATGATGTTAAATTCATTTTTTGGGTTATTTTTTGTTTTTTCAGAAACTACAAAAATGTAAATTTTTGGAAAGATCTCTCATACCGTAATATGCACATTTCCATAATTTGTAAACAATACTGTATTGTGAGTTAAAGTGCTTCAAAGACTTCTAAGGAAGGTTTTCGAAAACTCAAAAATTTTCTGTGAAAAAGAGCTTCAAATTTCGAATTTACAGTACTAATGCTTAAATGCCGTTTTCTTAAAAGTGGCTGCAATTTTTTCAAAGAAAATTGCCACTAAGGACGCTCTTTAATTTTTCTTAAAATAATATTTCCATTCTATTATGACACCAAATAATTAAGATTTTTTTAAAAAAAATGATGGGCGGTGATAGATGGCAGCTGGCATGAGTATGTGGCAAGTCCAAATAGCTTGCCGAGACCATAGGAAATAGAAAATTAATATGGGAAAACCTGTGCCATTATGTTGCATCACTAGTTATTCTTTTGAACATTGATTATTCTTTCGCATATTGGAGGTACTGATAATGTGCTACGTTTCAAGGTACATGGTTTGGCTTCATCATCACACATTCCAGAACATCGCTACTATTTCTTTATACCAGCTGAAGTCACAAACAAAATTGTAGTTAAGTTTAATTTGGCTTGTACTATATTGTTGCTAATTTTATATTATTATTATTTATCATTCAACATCATGCCATATTGCGACTTATTTGGTTTGACTGATTGTTAGTGATTCCGGCACATCAACTACTATGGTCATTAGTCTATAAGTGTAGTGCATGTGCACTCGGGAAGTGGCGGTGGTCTTCCCCTGCTGGCGAGATCCGGCGCCGACCTACGGTCGGTTAGCGGTGTTTTCTGTGAACATCAGCCGGAACGAATTCTAAGCTCCCGACCAATCTCCTAGCGTGTGATAGTGTAGAGCATGTTAGTGTAAGTGTAAGGAAGGGGTGAGGATAGAACAAGAAAGATGTAGGAAAAGTCGCGCGCCGTCCGTGGCCCGTTTGTTAGGATACTGCTGCGGGATTCACCTGGTGTTGGAGAAAGCAGAGAAAACTACCAATCAGACCAGCCGACCGCTAGAATTCTCCACTTGACACCGGCTAATTAAATCTAACTGACAAGCTAGTGTCGAAAATCCTGCCATCGTCGGGACCCGAACCTAGGACCTCCCGTTCAGAGGGACTGAAGTGATATCAGTGATACCCTGAGCCGTCTCACCCTGTATATTTAAGTTGCCATAAGTTTTATACATGTAAAACTGCACAGGTATAAATCTAATAAAAAAAACAAACAAGATGACAACTAGAGCTGACATAAAAATAATGTTCCCTGAAATAGAGCAAGCACATCGAGATAAAATTTGAATATTGGGTAAAAAAATCCCCTCTTCTAAATGCTATACTGATTGATGAACAAATTTTCAAAACTAAGAGCTTTATATTTACAAATTAAGCTGTTATCACCACTTAATTGCAGAAAACTTTAAGTTTAACTTACAAATTGATCAGTATATTTGGGTTTTGCCAAGGCTTTTGACTTACTCACCAGATTTTCCTAAAGATCAATATGAAGAATCCATTACTTAAGTGTATTCAAAATTATTTGGATAATTTATTACCGAATGTTAGATATGAATCCTTCTTTGCAAGGGACATGATTTTGTTCACATGTTCCTCAAGGTTCTTGTCATGGACCTCTGTTATTTGTGTTTTTCAATAATACAAGGGTTGGCCAGAAGTCATAGCAACAATTGTTTTCTACAAGAAATGTTATTGGATCACACAATTTTAATTGTTGCATGAAAGAATTGTACTAATGTGTGTTCACAACAACAAATGGCTCTGGGCCTCTGTAGTACAGAGAGCAACATTAAATCAGGTGTCTTGACTGCCACTGTGCGAGATAAATGTAACCCATTTCGAGCAGTGATCATACACCAAACTAGCCATTTTCTATGGAAGAAATGCCACAGGGAATTGGTGGAATCTCTCAGAAATAATGCTCTTCCTTACCAGACAGTAATGAGATGGGCAGGAGAGTTTCTGCAAAGATAGGTAGCAACTGTGTCTATGTACTTAGATCATACCTTGTCCTTTCATGTGCATAATACACATTTTCCACCCAGACTTGTATTCTCACCAGTACAAAACTTGCTATGACTTATGCCCCAACACTTGTATTCAATTTATATTATCACATTGTCATTTCCTATATTCCACATATGATCTTGTGTGCAAAGAAATTAAAAGTTCTGATGATTGCTGAGTACTTCAATGATTTGTTAAATGCCCAATCACCTTGATGTTCAACAACTCTCATCTATCAAAGTAAAATTGCGAGATATTTGTGAAAACACCTTTCATTATGAAACCAACAATAATAAAAAATCAAAAGTTGTACATTTGATTAAAGCAAAAGTTGTACATTTGATTAAAGACTTTGCTGACCTTGAATGAATTGAAATTTGAGATCCAAATTTAATACAAAACTAGTCATAACAAATCTTAGACTTTATTAAAAAACTGACAGAATTTACTGTTCTATACTTTA